CCTCCCCGTCCCCCTCTCTCCCACACTCACACCCTCATTTCCTCTTTCTATAACTATATTATATTACAGTTGACTGAACTAGCTAGACAAATAAATACTGGCCTTATGGCCCGCCAGACAAACCCTATCCTCCCTCTGTATCTCAACCCTTACACCAATCTCGACACTGGGTACCCAATAAACAATATCATATTGCTTACCCTCGCGTAACTCGTGGATTCAGGAGGGTGTAGGAGAGTAGAGGATAGGTAGGCAACTTTTTTGTATCGTTAGCCAGGTCAGGATAACTGACAACCAAGTCACGCTCACACACTTGAAGTTGGTACATGTACAGTCTTTTCCGGAGTCTTCAATTACACCCAGAGCTAAACAAAGTTTCATCAAATCCTTCTTTGAAAGGATTCAGCCCAACTCAGGACAGCCAGGGTTTACCTCGTGGAAGGAAAAAGCTACTATTAAGAGGTCGCTTTTAAACACAAGGGGGCTATCTCGAAAAATGCTGTTTTTGAGAAAATCGAAGTTGAAGTTTTTAGACCCTTGTTCAGTATCTAAGACAAGGAGAGTTTTCTCTATACCGAAACAAATTTACACACCAATGAAACCAAACTTGTCCTCTAGGTAGGGCAAAGCCCACTTTTGGTAAAGCTCAAGAGTTCTGGAAACCCCAGAAACCTGGATTAGCCCGCTTGTCCTTTGTCCTTAAAAGTGACTAATTGGAATATACTGATCCGATCCTAAAAACATCATTAAATAAAAAAAAAAGTTTGCTTTATTTTTCTATACCACAATGGGGGAGTGTTCGATGAAAAATCGTAGCCAACAACAGCCAGTTTGAACAGAAGGTTTCTTCTTGTCATATGTCATTGCGGGGGTCAGGTCTTTTGTGCGCGGAATGCGATAGGCCCGTGTGGACTTCCAGGTCAAATTTAACGAGACGAAACAGAGATCTATTTACGGGAGTCTGTTGTGTAGAGGTTAGGCGCTTTGATGTCGTAGGCAAGAGACCCGAGTTCGATCCTCGAGTGGGAAGAACATTTTTTTATCGAGTATTTCGGTCCTTCTCATCTCAGATTGACCCTGACCCTGACATGATGGTTCGGAAGCCCGCCATCTAAATGATCTAAATTGTGTTCATGAAGGGGTAAAAACACCCCCACCTACATTAAGCAAAAATATCTTTTTGACACATTGAGCATTGTTCGGCGCCATTTCTCGAGCCAACCCTACCCGACCTCATTATGCAGACTGGGTCCACTCGTCCTATAGAGGCATTTACTCTCAGTCCTAGTTTAGTTTTAGTAGAGGTTTTACGGCCCTCGCAACTGCATAAGGTCATATGAGTGCCAGAAGATTAGAGGCGTTACAAGAGAGTAACAAACATAAGAAGGAAGAATGGGAGATAAGGGCGATAGATGTTTGATTGGAAAGAAGAAGCAAACCACACCAGAGCACCCGCCAACCACCCACTCAGTCCTATGTTGTCTGTTCAGACAGACCAGCAGCCCACCCCGTCCCGTTGCAATCTATACCAGGGCTGTGACCTTCACACTGGCCCGTTCACGTCCAATAAAGTCTCTGGCATTTCGCCCGCCTGTCAAGAGTGACGTAAAAACGGGCGTCTGTCAATCAAATAGTGTGGCCGTCAAGGGGGAGAGGGAGGGGGATAGAGAGAGAGAGAGATAGAGAGAGAGAGAGGGAGAGAGAGAGGGAGAGAGAGAGTGAGTGAGAGAGAGGAAGAGAGGGGGAGAGAGAGTGAGAGAGAGAGGGAGGTAGTGAGAGAGTGAGAGAGAGACACACACACACACACACACACACACAGAGAGAGAGAGAAGAAAAGAGGGAGAGAGACAGAAATATTGAGAAAGAATAGGTGGAAGAGAGATAGATAGATAGATAGAGAGAGAGAGAGAGAGAGAGAGAGAGAGAGAGAGAGAGGGAGAGGGAGGGAGAGAGGGGAGAGAGAAAGATAGAGAGAGAGCAAACAGACAGACAGACAGACAGATAGATAGATAGATAGACAGACATTCAGACAGACAAACAGACAGACAAACAGACAGACAGACAGACAGACAGACAGACAGAGGTGGCGTGGGGTGGGATGGGATGGGGAGGAGCAGCAAGAGGTCTAATCTGACTGAGACAGTGGACAGTTGGGTGACTCTACGATAATAGAAGATAGCGGAATGAACCAAGTAAGAACAGCCCTCAGAAATCAGGAATACTATTATTTCCAAATTATTTTTAAAAGCCGCAGAGGTAATAATATAGTCGTATTAATAATGATAACTAATATGAATGTATAATAATAATTTTAAAA